CATCGTTTATGCCACATTTAAGTCAATCGCTGTAAACAATCGGCTGCAAGAAACTAAACGAAAAAACAATTGCTGCCAGCGCTGTGGCATAAACAGTTAACATCCCTATAATCAGGCAGCAATTTGCCACAGTCACCCACAAAAGTTGACGTACAACAGCAATAACAAATGCCTGCTACTTCCTCATTGCCAGAAAGCGAACTCAAAGAAATCGAAGCATCGCCCATTGCATAAGACAGCGAATCGCCAATTGCAACTGCGGCAGCCGTTCAATGCGGCATGTTTAAGAAAACTGCAAACAAATTATAACAAGGGTACTCTAATATGAGCAGGGTACGACTGGAAGATACCCTAGAGAGAAAACTGAAATAAATATAGTAAAGGTGCTATATTATTTTATTCTCTTAACTTATATGGACAGAGATCTACTAAAACTTGATAAACAAAACCAATAATAGTAAGAGAATTGTAGCTACATTCAGATTAGCAGATACCCTGGAATGTAAGAGAAGAGTTGTGATATTCTATATACCAACATTTACGTCTCTAGCTTATATAGGCTTTGAGCTATGTATAAAAGGAATAAGAGTGCGAATCGATCAAAAATTTAATGCTCTCAGAGAAGCCCAAATTACAAAAAAAAAGCTATAGAAATAAATGAAGCTACGCTCATTCCAGTAAAGTAGAAACGCAAAAAAAAGCTTAAATTTATCGTTATCGATGTAAATAAGAAGTGAAAGCTTATATTCAGCACCCATATATCATTTATTACCGGCAGACGTGCTCAAAATACAAACTAAAGAAATGAAAAAGAATATTCCCATTCCAATTAAGCATTAAATCAAAGTTCAAAGTAATTCGATATATATCGATACTCAATAAATGAGAGAATTTAACTGCTCTTAATGTGCTACAATACAGCAATAGTATGTTCTTAACAAATACGCATTTTAGCAACAAATATGCTACACGAGGCGGAAATCGATATTTATCGATATTGCAATTAGCACTTTCCACTGGTTAAGCATAAGTCATATACTCAATGACAAGCAAACGCCTCCATTATAACCCCATGGATATGACAATGCTTTGCATAGAACCAATATACCCACGCTTCTCACTGCCTCCCATTCGCACTCGGGCTATACAAATTAGATGAGCCATGTGTTTTATGAATGGGAGTGAAGGAAAACTTCAAGCAAAAATGCCAGACGCGACATGAAACCCAAATAGAAAACTAGCAAATCCGCAGCTAAATGAAAGAGCGGCGCCTTTGAGGGCAGCCAGGCAAGTTGGCTGTGTGGCATGCAGCAGGAAGCTTGCCGCAGCGACGATTGCAATTGTCTGCAACTGCAACTGCGTCAGCGTCAGCGTCAGCGGCTAAAATGAAAGGCGAAAAATGTGAGGCAAATGATAGACAGGCAACTGTCTGCACTGACTGGGCGATCGCAGCTCTGCTGTGGGTCTCACTCCCCCTCTCACTCTCTCTCTCTCTCTCTCTTTCTCTCTGTTTCTCTGTCTGTCTTTCAACGGAAGCGCAGAAAATGGAAAATAATTTTGAACTTTGGCGGCGGCGTTTGACTTATTGCCTACTGATTTGCAGACAAATCAGTTTGGCTGCAGGGCACACAGTGTGCACAGTGCCACATGTGCCACATGTTGCCTGTCCATACATGTGTGTGGGTGTTGCATATAAATAAATTGTAATTTAGTTTGGCACAGGATGCACATCGCAACTAGCGCCAGCTGCGCTCCAAAGAGAAAGTGAGTGTTTGTTAAAATTTGACAGGTTCATTTGACAACAGGCAACAGTCTACGTGCACAAGTACTTAACTACACACACACACACACACACTCAGACATTTGCGATTATAAATGAAATTGAAAGCATTTACGATAAATCTCAATAAATCAACGCGCGCTTGCATTCAATTTTAAACTATAAAAATTTATTTATCGTTTTTCTTTAGCTTTTTTCTTATTTTTCTTGGCTTTTAAATATAATAATAAATGAGCATTATAAGGCTTAAAAACCATGCGCGATAAAGTGACACTGGAGGACACAATCTTAAAGCGCTGCAAGTGTGGCGTAAATAAAGTGCTTTTCACTTGATTGCAGCTTGAGTTATGGCTTATGTTTTAAGCTAACATTTATTTTTTTTTTTTTTTTTTAGAAATCTATATATCTAAAGCCTGAATGATATGAAGTGAGCAGGGAGAAGAGATGACAGTCTGAATTAAAGACATACAGAGCTTCAAATCTATTTAGAAGAGATGTAGATTATAGAGCACAGTTTGCTTAGAGGACTAATTGCAATTATTCATAAGCTAAAAATGAGGGAACATGGCTGAGACACTATAAAAACTTAATACGAATCCTACTACAGCAAAGCAGAGAATACTAAATATATTAAATATTTAAGTAATGTAGCTGGAAACGAGTTAGATAGATATAGAGTTCGATATAGATATAAAATATAGTATAAAATCTACATGGAAGACATGCGAAAATTTTACATGAATGTGAGCGCAGCTAAAAGTCAAGTTTGTTATAATATATCATATAATAGTTAAAGATATTATTATGTATTTTTTAAGAAGAAGAGAATCCTTTAAATAAACAAAGCGATTTTTGTATAAGATAATCTCTAATAAATAATTCAATAATTATGATATGATATTGCTATAAACCTCTTGCAGGACTATTGACTATTATTATCATTATTACCACATAGCACACCTGACATCATATTAAACAATATATTATAAACAATATATTCCCTATATATATACATTATTATATACCACATATTCCCAATATATATGCAATTTATTCCCTAGAAGTATTGAAGCTCAAAATAAAGTCACTTAAAACAACTTTAGACACAAATCTAAAGAATGTTCCATAAGTGACCCAACAGACTATATAAAGCATTTAGAGACCTAGTACCCAAAAACCTATTAAACCCATAAAACCCAGAAAGAATGACCAAGGTCACTGAGCAAACATAAAATTACCTGTAACTACAAGAAATGTAAATCAATGAACATGATACAATCTGGTGGCACAATAAATGCAAATGAAGATTGCATCGCAGCTAATCGATGACACTTTCGGTTCGCTCTTAGACAAAATTGAAAAATTGAACAGCCTAACAAGGTCTACGGCAGCGTAACCAGGTCAGTGCTCACAAGCGTTAGCAAATAAATCATGTTAAAGGCATGAAAAAAAAACGAAAAAAAAAAGCAAAAATATCATAATAAGAAGTGTATGGGCAACGCCTGTTGCCTGGCAGCTGCCACAGAGTTGCCACAAGTTGCCACAGATTTCCGCCTGGAGGCAGCGTCAACTGCATTTTAACCCAATTAGAGAACAGGTTGGCACCTCCACACACACACACAAACACACACACACACACACAGCGACATTTCACATTTCAATTTTGTGTGCCAAATTTTGTGGAGCACTTGGCTTGGTTTTTTAATATATATTGAAATATATATATATGTAAAAACATATGTATGTGGTATATACATATATACATATATATGTTATATGGTTAATTTAATTTGGTTTTTTTTTTATTATCGCCGCCTTGTTTCGACACCAGCTCAACGATCTTATCAGCAGCCTGGCTGTCAATTGTGTACAGGGCATCATTAATTTACTTCTCCTCAGTTTTTTTTTTTTGGGAAAGCGCATAAAATAGAAACTCATCCACATTCGCTATCTAGATGGTGTGTGCATGTGTGTGTGTGTGTGTTTTAATTAAGTGCATCGTTTGCTGGTGGGCAGCATTTGAATTTGTGCCATAATTCATGGAAAGTCGAAAGTCGCAGCCGGCACCAAGCCAGAGCTTCATCGATAATGTGTCACATATCAATAAAGAATTTCCCCCCACATGGAGCATCATTTTCTTCTTCTTCTTCTACTTCAAGCTCTCCAGCTGTTTTATGTGCATATTTGTGACTCCAGGGCATCTCGTATGGCTGGCGCCACACAAATATAAGTGTCAAGCCAACAACAACAACAACAACGGCAACAAAGCAAACACCCAATTCCCCAGCACTTGCCTGGCCATTGATGAAAGCCAAGTGCCGCAGCTTCGCCTTTTTTTTACTTCTTTTCATCTTCACATAATTGGCCAAGTGGGTCACTGTAACTTACCTGCAAAGAAAAAGACAGAGAGAGACAGATTAATTGAGTGAGCGAGATGGAGAACAAGTGAGCTAGAGTAATTAAACGGCTGCCATAAAGTGTCTTGAGTTTAGGCTACATGAATTCGTCTCAAATGAACATGCACATTAAGCCAAATAAGTAAGAGTTGAAAGAAAGCGCGCCTCTCTAACTCCCGAAAGAGATGGAGGCGCAAGTGTGTGTGAGTGTTGGAGCAAGACAGAACGAGAGCGATGGGGACGGATAAGAGAAACAAACTTGATTATATACGATAAGAGTTAGCTACGCTTGAAGCTTTCAACTAAACGAGCGACATATAAAAAGTTAATTAAAAGGAAATTAAGTAAACGATAATTATCGATAAATGTACTTCTGTACACTCTATTTGCATAGTAACTCTATTATATTCCTCTTTCAATTTTTATTAAATAATCAAAACTAACGCATTATTTTACACAAGTAATGCTCAAGCTTTAAGCTATGAGTTTAATTATAATTATCGATAACACTAAATATTATATAAAAATATTAGTGTTATAAACTAAACTAAGCTATTTATTTAAATATTTTATAAATAAAATTATTTATTTATTTATTAAAAGGTAACCCAAAAACTTGACAAGCTCGATAAGAAAAAAATAAATTTGTAATATTTTTGTTTTTTCCTAGCAATACTTCCATTTCGATTCCAGCGAAACTTATGTGATTGAAGTAGGTGTAGAATTATTTGGCATTTGCTTAGCAGCCCTCGCACAAGCTATTCTCATTAGTAATTTGACCAGCATCCAAATTTAACCTTTTTCTTTTTTTGAAAATAAAAAAAAAAAAAAAAAAGAAAAATTTTCGAATAATTTTTTAATGCAAGCTAAATTTTTGTTCGGAGCCATAAATACTTAAAAAGTCAGATAATGTGTTCTCCATGCGGACCATGTAGCCCCTGCGATCCGTGCTGTGGCCCCTTCGAGTGTTCGCCAAAGTGCTACAATGCTGCCCAATTGGAGGCGCTGCCGCAGTGCGCGCCACGGATACCGCCACCGTTTCCCAAATGCATCACCGTACAGCAGCCGCCCCGTTTGATCTGCAAGAAGCGGGTCGTATTCACCGAGAAAATCGTGCCCGAACCGATGGTCGTGAATCGATGTCGTCAAATAACGATACCAAAGGTCGTTGATGCGACGCGCGTCATAAAGGTGCCAAAACTGATTTGGGTGTCGCAAATGGTGCGCGAACCGCGAGTTATCTACTATCCATCGATGATACCCGATCCGTATGTGGTGTGCTATCCGAAGCGTGTGTGCGAGCCAAGGGAGGTCTGCCAGTCGATCTTGTGCCAGCCGAAGCCCCAAACTATCGATATACCGCCGCCGCGAGAGTACTGCTGCTATCCAAATGGACCGATCAACTACAAGCCGAGTGCCGCATGTCCGCCCTGTCCGATCGGGCCCTGTGCACCGGGCGGTGCCTGTTGTCCATTGCCCTGCTTCTCGACCAATCAGTATCCCGTATGTGAGACACGCTGCGGACCATGTGGACCATGTGGCCCAGGTGGTCCATGTGGACCCTGTGGTCCATGTGGACCGTGTGGACCTTGCGGACCTTGCGGCCCGTGCGGCCCCTGTGGACCATGCGGTCCTTGCGGTCCTTGCGGCCCGTGTGGCCCCTGCGGCCCTTGTGGGCCTTGTGGACCCGGCGGCCCGTCTGGCCCCGGCTGCTGGTGCCCCTGCGGTAGCCTTTAACCATAACCAAACTACTTGCGGATACGGCGACACTCATTATATTTTTACCTGTAACCCTTCTATGTACGTTTATGTAGCTCTATATAAGTGTATATAGAAAACGAAAAGGTGCCCACGAAATAAACATATTCTCGCTTTTCATCCCGGATATAATGATATCGTCTATTCAAATCATTCCAGAATTGGGAATAGCCGCACAAATATGTTATTATCCTTATCTAATCTATGTTCAAATTATATGTCCACAAATATAAATTCATGAAAAAATTCAATTTAAAAACATATTTTTGTAATTTTCATTACCTCTCCGATGGCTCTACGTATTTCTCGGTTAATTTCTGCTTTCTTTTTCTCTTTTCTCTCATTTCTCTCTTCTTTATTCCTATTTTTCGGTTTCTCCTTCCATCTTCTTTCTTAAATGCAGCTTACAAAATATTTTATAATTAATACCTATTAATCCAATTTCCCACTCCTCCATTGAGCTCATCTCTTCTCGGTTCCCCATAAAATAAATATTAATTCTATAGCCAATTTGCCTTTTGAACATCATTTCACGCCCTCATTCCGAGACAGTTTTTTGGCTGTTGGATTTAACGAACCCATTCGAATTAAAATAACAAAATATTATTAATTTTCTGATGCCTTTCCGCATTGGAAAACATCAAAATCAAATTCAAATTCAAAATATTAACATAATTTTTCTTATAGGCATTTCTTTTCTTATGCTTTTATTGCGTTCGTAAATTCCATAATATTATTTTGGGTTTGTTTTCTTTATGTGTCTGAATTTAATTGCTTCATTTGCGCCTGCATTTTTTTTACACTCGTTTCACTTGGCTTCGACTCTGGCTTCATCTTCTGTTTTGCTTTGCTTTACATATTTTTCTTTCTCTTCATTTTTGGGCCAAAAATAAAATGAATGCATTCATAAATTATGCATTTGCATGCAAATGCCGCGCGCCATCTAATTGGTTTATGTAATAAATATTTTCTTGCTGTTGTTTCTTTAAGCTTTTCTCGCCTTTTTTCTTTATTTTGTTCAACTGAAGATTTATTTGGTATTTTCTTTCTTTTTTTGGTCTTTGGTTAAGAATAACAATGTGCATGTGCACGTAATGCAACGCGCAGCTATGCGAATGGCATACGCAATAATAAGAGCAAGTTGATGTTAAGAAAAATACATGACTAGAAGGTACCCTGTAATCACAAACTAAAATGATTCACTGCTAAAATGTAAGAAATCCACACGATTTAAGTGAAACCTTTTCTGCATGAGTGCAAGTGTGAATATATATCTCCAATTTCCAGTCTACAGAACTGAGCTCATTCAATTAAGTTAGGACTAGAATATGACTCTCTAGCAATTTCCGCGCTTTACAATGAAACAAAGCTGAGAACAAAGCTCTCTCACACTCTGCTATTATGTGCTGATAAACAGTAAACCTTTACTCACGCTTCTCAGGCTATTTAGAGAAACATTTAACATATTACGCATACGCCGCATCAGCCAAGAGGCAAGAGGCAGCTGCAGCATTGCAGTCGGAAGCGTCGTTGCATGCAACGCCCTCGATTAGTCAGCTCAAAATTTGTTTACTTTGACTTAATTAAGGTCTTGACACAGTGTTTATTGTTACACACATACACACACACACACAAAGCGCGGATTGCCTACTGTTGTTGTTGCAGTTGTTGTTGTTGCAGTGACGCGTGAGCTTTTCAATTAGCTGCGCTAATTAGGAGTTGTGAGACGTAGACGCTAATGTCGATGTAGATGTCGATGTAGATGTAGGTGTTTTAGCAGCTAGCTCTGGGTCACTCGCTTGGCATGCACAAAGCGTTAAGTCCGGCCCATTAAACGCTATCGCCTTTTGGCCAGATGCGCGCGATAAGCGGGTCTTTTGACTGTCGGCGAGTTTTATTTTTTTGCGAGTTTCACTTATTATATTTTCAAATACCCTGGAATGGATTGTGATAAAAGACTTACAGCTGGAACAACAGACGTTTTTACTATCGATACGAATCGATAACACATGTCAGTCATTTATCGTTTATTATAATAGCTATATTCATTCAATTCAGTATTGATTGTAGTTTTAAATAAGTTACATATGCATATAATTATCAATTCCAGGGTATTTCAACTATCGTAAAAAATCGATAACATGGTGCATGCATTTATCGTTTATTATAAAAGCTATATGCAT